CCACTTATGACTGCATGACTGTAACTTTATTGCTTGTATCCTTACGATTTATATTGATATTGTTTCCTGATTGCTTTTTTGTACCTTATGACTATCATTAAGTGTTGTACCGCACGATTCTTGACAAATGTATATTTTCTTTTATGTACACTGAGAGCATATGCACCAAAGACAAATTCCTTGTATGTCCAATCAACTTTGGCCAATAAAGAATTCAATTCCATTCTATTCTATGTACAATTTAGAAACCTAAAGTATTACTACTATGCACCAAGAATTAAAAATCCCTTTAATCATGTAACTTTACACTTGGATGTTTATCAGGAAGCAGATTCTAAGTACAGTGGCACTTATTCCAAAATGAACATGCAAATAGATGCAGCTCTAATTGTGTGCAGCAGTGGTGGCTGTATATACATCTGCATGGTTACAAATGTATTGGGCATTCTGCCTTTTCACTTGAAGACATGTAGCCTTGAATTCTCATGGGTCTTTTTGGAGCAGTGCAAAAAGCATTGTTTGACTCACTGAGAAAGCAGACGTTTGCTGCCTCTGATTCACTGACCTGCCAAAGATCCTTTCCTGCCAGCATTCACACGTGTCATGATGTCAGTCAGGGTCAGGTCTCCTGTCATCAGATCAGGGTGATTCTATGCGGAAGAAAAGAGGAGAGCAAACAAAAATCAGCTTTACCGCAAAAAGAAACCAGCAAGAAGCAGCCCCCCGGCAGCCTTTGATGGGATGAGACAAACACCTAACTCAGGTAAGGGCCATACAAAGACCTAGGATCAAAAATCACAGATCTGAGTTTTGGTGCTCAAACCAAATTTAGGTGGGAACATGTGGGAATAAAACACATTCAACCAGATGTTTGAGTACATACCCTGTTTCCCCCGAAGATTAGACCTCCCCGGATAATAAGTCCAATCGGGCTTTTGAGCGCATGCGCTAAAATAAGCCCACCCCCAAAATATTTAAATGCATGCGCAGCCTGGGGGGAAATGGCGTGAACCAGCCCACATGCACCTGCCATCTACGCGGAACGGCCTCGCAGAGGTCACTCCCGCAAACCCTAGCCCCTCCTCTTAGTAGCGGCTGCAAAAAGAGCGGCAGGCACAACGACACTAGGGCCTGAAACAGAGACAGAACTTCCGCCCGTCTCTGGATCAGCTGATTCACAGGCTGCGGGCCGAGGTTAAGGGCCCTCCTACACCTCAAAAATAATAAGACTTCCCTGAAAATAAGGCCAAGTGCTTATTTTGGGGGGGGGGGTCAAAAGAAAATAATAGCTTTGAGGTTTATTTTATTTATATGCCGCCCTATTCCCTGAGGGACTCAGGGCGGCTCACAAACCCAAGGGGGCGGGGGGAGGTAAACACAAAGAAACTACAACAGAAAAGGTACAGGGGAATTTAAAAGAAAACCAACAGCCACACGATTCGAGAGGGGAAGGGAACTCATCAACCCCAGGCCTGCCGACGCAGCCAGGTTTTAACGGC